GTTATACCTCTAATGAGATTTGGAGTATATACAAGAAGAATGGAGTACATACGTATACTATGGACTATCTAATAGAGTGATCTATACTTTTAGCATTTATCAAGTAGTATTTAGGCACCTGATGTATCAACTTCTGGTAATATGCATTTAATTTAATAGGGTATGTCATACACATTAGATTTTAGACTAAGGACCATGGACTAAGTAGCAAAATAATCCATACTCTTTAGATTTATCAAGAATATAGGCATGTGTTGCATAAAAATATGGATCGATGCACTTATGTAAACATAGGATGTCATACATATTACATTTTGGACTATGGAGCACAGACTATATGGTAATGTGCCTAAATTTATTTAATATTTCATCAAGTAGCATGTATGCTTAGAAATAGGGCACTATGGATTTATTTAGTTGGCGGTTGTCATACACTCATATGTACATATTGGATTTTGGAACAGGGACTATGGACATATACAGTAAAGTGTTCAATGGTATTTAGCATTTATCAAGTAGCATGTAAGCCTGTGATGTATAGAAATGGGGCACTATAGATTTATTTAACTAGAGGACAGCATACAAATTGAACTTTGGAGGGTGGATTACAGACTACATAGTAAAAATATGATTCAATGCTCTTATTTAAACATAGGATGTCATACATATTAGATTTTGGCCTATGGACCACAGACTATATAGCCAAGTGCCTAAAAGTATTTAATATTAATGAAGCACCAGGTAAGCATGTGATGTATAGAAATAGGGCACTGTGGATTTATTTAACTAGAGGATGTCATACATATTGGACTTTGGAGTGTGGTCTACAGACTATATAGAAAAGTGCCCAATAGAGGGGTCCCTCGTAAACGGCAATTGCGAACCTTGGGGACAATTAACTGAGGACCTTGATTCTTATACTTGAAGAATCTCGATATTAGAACAAGAGGAACCCCGTTATATGACAAACAGAAACCTCGATTCTTTAACCAAGGGAACCCATACTAGCTCTACTTGACAACCTCGGTTAATGTGTAGTGGAGCTGAGTTTCTTGTCAGTCAAAACCTCGAACCTATCGATATGGGATCTCGTTCCCTCTCTTGTTCATTGTACGGACGCTGATCCCAAAACCAAGGAACTTCCGCAATAAGGCGGTTCGGCCATTCCCGAACTAATCCCGCTCCTGTCTCCAACAACTATGAAAACTTTTTTTCCATTTTGATACATCATCATCATTTTAGCCTTTTTCCAATTAATTGGGGTCGGTTACATGAATCTTGGCTCTCCATTCTGCTATATTAAAGGCCATATCCACAGTGAGGCCATAAGTTCCCATATCTTTTCAGACTACTTCCAACCACATCCTCATCTTTGTGTTGCACTGAGTCTCCACCGTTCGATTCCTCTCTTTCATCTCTCACACAGCTCCTTCTCTTCCCTCTCTCACATAGCAATCATGTATGCATAGACCTGGGGGATTCTCGAAATCCCTCCATAGACTGATCATGCTTGATCCATCTAGTTACTTAAATATGAAAGCTAATCCTACTAGGAACAGCCTCTCAAGAATTGCCTCTTGAATACCCAATAATTCTCTGCTAAAAGCATATAATAAAATCCCACAAGAGATTGTAGGTGCCATTATCTCCATCATTTTATAAATGACACAAGATTATAGAATGGTCCACAGATACACACTGCCACCATCTGCTTTCAAAACTTGAACAAAAGAATGAGGAGCATAGGTAATCAACATTAACAAACTATTGATAAGAAATGAATAAAAATCTACAATTTGGATTCCTTGGTGTACTTATGCGCTTCTTTTGCTCTTGTCAAGTACTGTTATTTCTAATAGAAAAATATATTTTTTTGGATTTCATGCTGTACTTATTTTTTTGGATTTCATGCTGTACTTATGTCCATCTTTTGCTTTTTTAAAGTACATTCTCATGTCTATAAACTCAATACTGAAGTACACTTTATGGGTGTGGGGGTTTGCTCCATACAAGGGCTCACTGCCCCTTCATGCAGTTCCTCAGTTTCTCCATCGAAGATCAGGCAAGAGGCAAAGTTTCACAGAGTCACTGTTTCATTTCACAGAATCACAATGTCTCCAGACTAGGTGTCACAGTTTTTCCTTTTGCATTTGTTTTTCTTCATTTAATTTTTGTTCTTATTTTGCTTTTGAGTTCTTTCTTCCTCAACCACTTGAGAGGAAGGCTAGTCTTTGCACCACGCCAATTGTGATGCTTGAGTCATGATTCATGAAATTGATCCATGTTTATGGGAACCACAAAGGAGTATATTGTTATCACATTACTAAGACTTTGGACCACACAAGAGAACTCTGTGATCCATAAATTGTTTATGTTTCGCAGTCCTGGAATTTAATTCTGGTCTTTAGTTTGCTTTTCTCATGAAGTTGGTCCATGTTTATGTGAACCATAGAATAGCACTCTTATCAGTGTGGACCACAAAATAGAGCTCTATGATCCATAATTATTTTTCTGTATGGCAGTCCCTGACATCATTACTTAATGTAAGTATATCCAAAACAGAAGAAAGGTTCATAAAAATAGTACAAGTATGTAGGAATGGATCTCCATGGGCCAAAAACAGTACATGGCCAGTAGAACTGTAGAACACGTCCTCTTTTCATCTTCTATTGTACATTCTACAATTGCACTGCATTGTAATTGAAAATAGAGAACCTGGTGATGTTGTTCATGGAGCACATTGTCTTATTAGCAGTCTTAAGCATATTGATAATGCTAAAAGATCGATTGTTCATTCTTTTATTTTTTAAAATATCACTTATAAATAAATTGATAGGACATATTTTGCAAGTATACGTGCACACATATTTCTGATTCTTCGATCAGGTAATTGCAACAATATATAGTAAGAATTAATAATCATATATATAGGTGTGTGTGTCTGTATTGTTATTGGAACAATATATATACAAAATATAAAATCATATGCATATGCATATATATATATATATATATATATATATATATATATA